TCTTCAAGGCGCGTTACGTTGCTCGAGGCTTAAGTCAGCGACAGGGAGTTGACTTCTTCCAGACCTTCTCCCCGACCCCGAAGATGACCACTCTTCGGGTTCTGCTGCACGTCGCTGCTAGCATGACTACGAGCTACACTCTCTTGACTTCAGCACTGCTTTCCTACAGGGCAGCCCGCACGAGGAGATCTGGCTGCGCCGCCCACCTGGCTTCATCGTTACACCTTCAGCCTTGGCTCCGGTTCTGTTTCGTGGCGGTCTACCCGCTTGTCTTCCGTTCTTAGCTCCAGCTGTGAGGCTGAGATCTACGCAGGGGCCATGGCTGCACAGGAGTTACGCTGGCTCAACTACTTGCTGGCCAACTTGGGAGAGGCGCCTCGTTCTCCTCCAGTTCTGTACGTCGACAACAAGGCAATGATTGCCTTGTCTCATGAGCATAGATTGGAGCACAGAACGAAGCACATAGCTCTGCGCTACTTCCTTGCTCGAGCGTTGCAGCAGCGTGGTCAGCTTCGTCTTGCTTACGTGGCCTCTCAGGCCAACACTGTTGATATCTTCACCAAGGCACTTCCGCCTTGTGATCATCGGCGTTTCTGTATTGTTCTAGGGCTTGTGCCTACTTGGCCTCACTTGCTCACTTCTTGACTTTGCTTGTACTGTGATCTATATACTTGTATCTGCATGCTTACACTTGCTAGGTTCTGATCGCTGTACTGCTTGTTCTCCTTTATATATAACTCTGCATGTGAACTGGCCTTGTGGCCATTTGCTTGTGCTCAGAATGTGTGGTGACTTCGTGATCCACCCTGAGCTTGCTTTGCCTTTCTTGACTGGTCTTGTGACCTCGTGTTCTTCTCGACTTTGCCTATGGGGGTGTGTCAAACTATGTGTTGCTTCTTATGTAGGCTGTAGTGGGGTAGCCCATATGGGGTACAACCCAAATTAGGGTTAGCTACTTGTACCCATCCCGCTTCTAGTTGATTCATTCCTCGTTCTATCTTTCACAGGAGGAGTGCCTTGCAAGGTCGTCATTCTGGGCCGAATCCTGCGAGCTCGATGTTCAGGAAAATTTCCTGCGAAGTTGAGCTTTCAAGTTTTGCGATTTGTTTCGAGGGAGAAGGTGTGCAGGGCGGTATTACGGCCAGCCGTGGTCGGTTGAGAGGGTTGGGAGGAGTTTCCCGCGTCGCCATTCCTCAATGTCTGGAGCCCTTGCTCCAGAGTTGAAAGTCGCTGAAGTAGTTGTTCGAGTGCGACGGTACTGATCGTCGTCGTCGCCTCGTTTGTGGCAGCTAGGTTGGTTTGCGCTTCGGCGGTCAGATTTGTCTGACCTCCAGATCCTCCGGCCATCCTTACGCGTAAGCGCATGTTGGACGCCACCTTAGTTTGCTGAGATTTTCAGAGTCGGCAATGCGAATGATTCATGAGGCGCTCTCATACCATGTTGCTATCAGAATGTTGATCGTGCTTAGGATCACCTCATGAAGGTTCGCAGGGAGTATGTTGCAGCGGAAGTATTGACCTCAGGTCAGAGTGAAGTCAAAATCACTGGGATGGTTACACCAAAAGGCATACGTGCTATTATATAGTGATACAGAGGGAAAACCAATCGCCCCAACTAGCCACGTACTCTAAAAGGTACATTCCCTTATTGCAGCGAAACTTAATTGTGCGACTCCGGACAGTTACAAACCGTTCCTGCCTAAATCCTCGCTCCTGCAGCTGCTCGATGCTTCTGCTCCGACGGTCTAGATGCTGCCAACCGTACTCGCCTCTTCCTGTCATTCCGACCTTTCACCTTCGTATTCGTCTTTGCATTCTTTGGTTTGCTAGCGGTAGGAGTACACAGTGCTTCTCAATTTACTGTTCGTGACATTTTTGAACCGGACTGTAGCTTGTCCGTTGGAGCTATACTAATCAGCTGATTTTATTATTTGGCTTCAATCATGTTGTGCGAAGGTCTCAAATTAGGTGTAGAGTCCTTTGCAATCCCTGTAGAGCGGTGTGATGTGAAGTCTTTCTACGTCAACCCTTGTCAAACATGAGGTGTCTAATGCACCGAATACCACCAAGCCAATCAAGCATTGTTCGCGGCTCGCCACAAGTCAAACACGACTTCAAACGAACCTCCTCCCTCGTGGAAGGCGAAATAGGGCGAAGCTTTAGATTTCGGTCAGTTCACTTCGTGATATTCCAACATTGCCCTTCACCGCGACAAAATGATAACCTGTCAATATCGAGCGTTAGTGCGCGGCACCGTTTTGCCGCTTGATTGTTTGAACTACTGAAGGTTCAGACTGTGCTCGGGTAACACGTGTGGTCAGAAGTCGTCAGTATCTTCGTCAAAATTCATGCGACCAAGTCCTTGACGGTTCTCGTCGGTTCGCTTCTCTGCGACGTCACGACAGGTCGTATTCGAACGGATTGAGGCGCACACGCCTCAAACATTAGCGTTCGGAAAAATAGTGCTGCACTCTAGATTGGTTGCGAACAGAGCAGTTAACAGCAGCATAGACTGTGTGAGATTGGAGTGATCTCAAAGACTTCAGCATAGACTGAAGTAACCTGATTAGACTTCAGTTTTTTCTTTCTTGAAAGTTTGAAAAGTCCTTGAATTGTCTCTTCTTTCCTGCATAGTATTCCCACCTACCAACAAAACTCTGGCAGTATTGATTGACAGCGTGGGACAGCTGAAGTGGTAGAAATCCTCACGCGTATGTGAAGTTGCCATGCAATGAAAGAAGGCCTGGCTCGTTTGCCTCACAGACATAGTAAAGTTTTCACGTTGCTAACGTTTCTTGGACCTTATGGCGATCATGAATCTGAGAAAACCAAGTAAACGCGACGTTTTTTCATGGCTTCTGGCTGTCGTCGCCACGGCCATGATCTTTGCTCTCCTGGGAGTCATGCTACCGCCCTTGCGACCTTGCTCTGCACTCCATGTAGTTCAACCAGGTAAAACAGTACTAGGATTTAATAGGTTCCGTGGCCTGCAGTGCCGCGTGTAGCACAACCATGAGAACTCAGAGTTCCGATACGCGTGGCCTGCTTTCAGGTGTAAATACTACAAAAGTAGTACCTGTGCAAGTGTGTAGAAATAATGTTAGGAATAACCAACTCGATTTCATATTTCAACCCAAATCTCTCTCAATTCCCCTCTGATTTCCCTATATTCAACCCGTCTTCCCCCCCGTCTCCCTCCAACTCATACTAGCTCCCCTCCTTCCCCCCCCTGTTAGAATATACACCCCCCCCCCCCTCCCTCCCCCCTCTCCCTCCCCCCCAACCCCCCGTCTTCCTATCCTCCCCCCCCCTCCTCCCGCCCCCTTTCTACCCCCCCTTCCCACTTGTGATTTTCAGCAACCGGAAGGTCCAACACGAAAAGTACATCGGGCATTTATGGACCATGCCGTTACTGACGCCCCCTCCTTCCTATCCACGCACCCTTACCCCCTACTCCTTCCCCCCCTCCCCTCCGCTTGTGACAGCAGAACGAAGCGTTGCAAGCGCTAGGTTCAGCACAACACAGGGTGACTTCGTGCCCCTGCCCATCCGTGCTGTCAAATCTGTCGCAGGGTGGGGGAAAGCGGGGTGTAAGCCCCCTCCCCTGTTATTCATGCTCTCCCTCTTCCCCCTCCCTCCCTGTTAGAATATAAACCTCACCCCCTCCCCCCCCTCCCCTCCCCCCCCCCACCCCCCGTCTTCCTACCCCCCCCCCCCCCCCCCCCCCCACCCTCCTCCCGCCCCCTTTCCAATCCCCCTTCCCACGTCTGAATTTCAGCAACCGGAAGGTCCAACACGAAGCAGTACATCGGGCATTTATGGACGGTGCCGTCATTGTTGTCCTATTGCAGCAGGGTCAGTGGGCTGAGGGCCGCTAACTCCCTGCTCTTTCCTTCCTGCTGTGCTTCCGCCCTTTCCCCTCTTTCCCCCCCTCCTCCTGTTTCTTATCAGCAGCCGGAAGGCCCAACACAAAGCTATACATCGTGCACTTATCGTCGGTACCGTCAGTGCTGTCCTATCGGGGGGGAATCAGTGGGCTACGGGCCACAGCGACTGTAGACGATAACGAGGACGAGTATGACGAGGACGATGAGGATAAACAGGAGGATGGCGGCGATGCTGGTGGTGGTGATGGCAGTGGGAGCACTGGTGGAAGCGGTGGCAATGGCACTGCACCAGGATCAGCAGCAGGATCAGCAGCAGGATCAACAGCAGGCTCAGCAGCAGGATCAGCAGCAAAATCAGCTACAGCATCACCCACAGCAGCACCCACAGCAGCACCAGCTGTTAATGGTGGTGGCAATGGCACTGCACCAGGATCAGCAGCAGGCTCAGCTGAAGGATTAGCAGCAGGAGTAGCAGCAGGGGAAGAAGCAATAAAGGCAACAGCAGAATCAGAAGAAAAACCAACAGGAACAGAATCGGGAAAGACTGGCTTTTATGCGGATATTCAGTTTGCAAGTGCGGCTGCTGCAGAGGCGGCAATGGAAATGGCAGGAATGGGAGGAGCAGGAGCAGCAGCAGGGGCGGAGAGGTTGGCAGGGGTAGCAGCAACAGCAGTAGCAGGTGGAGGAGGAGGAGGAGAGGGAGGAGGAGGAGGGAGAGGAGTTCGAGGAGTGAGGGTGAGCGCACTGCCGTTTGCAAGAACCGGGCTGGATGCGCTGGTGGAGAGGGTGGGTCAGCGGCTGAGAAAGATTAAATCGCTATCTGTTGGCCGGCGCCTGCTGGCCCGCGTTGCCGCTGCTGCAGTGGCAGCAGCAGCAGAGGAAGCAGCAGAAGAATCAGCAGGAGCACATTCTGCTGGTGCTGGTGCTGCTGCCGGTGTGAGTGCTGCTGCTGATTCTGTCACAGAGCCATCCCAGAACTCATCATTTTACCCATCTTCTGTTTCTTCTACTTTCATCGCCAATCATAGCACGACAGCAGGCATAGGAAGTGCCACATCAGCACCAGCGTCATCATCTTCACCAGCAGCAGCACAAGGCGGTGACAAGGCACCAATGGCAACCGGAGCCACGTCAGCAGTGCTGACGGTGCAGCAGCTGAGTGCACGTGCCGCTCGCATCATGCGCTCAACGCCGTGGGGACGACTCATGCGACCCGACGTGCGGTTACCACACGTCCAAGCCTTCACGGGCTTCCTGGAAGCTTCTCACCGCAGCCTGCTACAGTCAATTGGGATCCCATCCTCAGCCATCTTCCACAGGTGGGAGAGGGGAGGAGAGGGAAGGGGGAGAAGGGGGAGTATGGGGAAATTGCGGGGGGGGAGGAGGGGGGAACTGGGGGAAAGAAGTACAATTCGATGTTAGGAGGTGGAGGGTCCAAACCTCTACTCCCCTTGCGTCCCCACTGCTCTTGTACCTTGGGAGCAGCATTACAGCCCATCTCACCTTTGGGCGGGGCAGCAGTGGCTGCTATGGAGAGGATGAGTGACATCTTGAGAAATCTCATCTCACTTTGTGACCTCTGTGCCTCTGCCTGCTTCCCACCCCCACCTTTCCCTTTCACCCTCCCCTCCCTTTCACCACTCAGCTACACCTATCTGATGAACAGCTTTGCAGCGCAGCTCACCACTGCGGAGGCAAGGCGGCTCAAGAGGCACCCAGCAGTGGCAGAGGTGGAGAGAGACCGCACAGTGCGAGTGACCTCGGTGCACTCCCCTGAGTTCCTCAAGCTCGACTCGAGCCTGTGGCCGGCGAATGGTGGGCAGAGCAACGCGGGAGAGGGAGTGATCATTGGAGTGATTGATTCTGGAATTTGGCCCGAGCACCCCTCCTTCTCTGACCCGGTGAGTTCTCCGAGTGACTGTGTCGGAGTGGGCTATGGCTTTGAGAGCGCATGGCAGAGCAACGCAGGAGAGGGAGTGATCATCGGAGTGATCGACTCGGGTATATGGCCCGAACACCCTTCCTTCTCTAACCCTGTAAGTTCTGAGTCGTTTCAAATCGTGGGCAGAGCAACGCAGGAGAGGGAGTGATTATTGAGTGATTGACTCGGGGATCTGGCCCGAACACCCCTTCTTCTCTAACCCTGTAAGTTCTAAGACGCTTTGAATGGCGGGCAGAGCAACGCGGGAGAGGGAGTGATAATTGGAGTGATTGACTCGGGAATTTGGCCCGAACACCCCTCCTTCTCGAACCCTGTGAGTGTGCCGAGTGGCTGAGCCAGGAATGAGGGCTATGGCTTTGAGATAGTCGTCAGGGTATGGCAGAGAAACGCGGGAGAGGGAGTGATCATCGGACTGATAAATTCTGGAATTTGGCCTGAACGCCCCTCTTTCTCTAATCCTGTGATTTCTGAGACGTTTCAAATGTTGGGCAAAGCAACACGGGAGTGAAAGTGATCATCGGAGTGATTGACTCGGGGACCTGGCCAAACACCCTTCTTATTAACCCTGTAAGCCCGAACACCCCTCCTTCTCCAACCCTGTGAGTGCATTCGTTTTTCTCAACCTCTCACACACAAACCCCAGACCCTTTCCCTTCACCCCGCCCCTCTTTCCTTGGTCCGCCTTCCTTTCCTCTTTTATAGCCTTTTTTTCTCTGCATATCCTCTCACCCAACCCCATACCCTTACCCTTGACCCCTCTTTCCATTGGTCCTCTTTTCTGCTGCCCCAGTGCGTTGGAGAGGCGTGTGCAGTGAAACAGACGACTCTTCATCTTTTCCCCTCTACTTCTTCCTGCAGGACCCGAACGGAGTGCCTTACTCCGCTGCCCCGGTGCGCTGGAGAGGCGTGTGCACCAAAACAGACGACTTCACAGCGTGCAACGGCAAGGTTGTTGGAGTGAGGTTTTTTGTAAAAGGGGCAGAGCGGAACTTTGGCAAAATACACATCTCAACTGAGTACCGGTCGGCACGGGACATGCTGCAGCACGGCACGTGGTGCGCGGGGTGAGTGTGATATCGTCAGGTTTAATCTTACTAGACATGCTGCAGCACAGCACGTGGTGTGTGGAGTGAGTGTGTGGGGGGTGGTGAGTGCAATATGCTCAGGTTTTCTTCTATGAGACATGCTGGGCATGCATGTGTGCATGCACGTGGGCATGCACGTGGGCATGCACGTGGGCATGCACGTGGGCATGCACGTGGGCATGCACGTGGGCATGCACGTCGGCATCTCTATAAAGTACCGGTCGGCATGGGACATGCTGCAGCACGGCACGTGGTGTGCAGGGTGAGTGTGATATTTCTCAGGTTTGATTCCACTAGAGATGCTGGGCATGCACGTGGGCATGCACGTGGGCATGCAGGTGGGCATCACAAACGAATACCGGTCGGCACAGGACATGCTGCAGCATGGCACGTGGTGTGCGGGGTGAGTGTGATGTGACTTTTGAGTCGCCTCAAAAGGCTCGTGGTGCGCGGGGTGAGTGCTTGGAACAGCAATGTGGTTGGGGCGAGGTTCTTCCTGAAGGGTCTAGAGCGGAACTGTGGCATGATTAACATCTCAACAGAGTACCGGTCGGCATGGGACATGCTGCAGCATGGCACGTGGTGTGCGGGGTGAGTGTGATGTGCCCTGTCTTTTTCGTAATAGTCATGCTGGACATGGGAGAAATGGGGGGCATGCGACAGACGCTGGATAGGTGAACTGGATAGGTGAGTTGGACAGGTGATTTGGATAGGTGAGTTGGATAGGTGAGTTGGATAGGTGAATTGGATAGGTGAGTTGGATAGGTGAGTTGGATAAGTGAATTGGATAGGTAAATTGGATAGGTGCGTTGGAAAATTGAGTTGGAAATGTGAGTTGGAGATGTCAGTTGGAAATGTGAGTTGGAAAAGTGAGTTGGAAACGTGAGTTGGAAATGTGAGTTGGAAATGTGAGTTGGACATGTGAGTTGGACATGTGAGTAAGACATGTGAGTTGGAAATGTGAGTTGGAAATGTGAGTTGGAAACGTGAGTTGGAAATGTGAGTTGGAAATGTGAGTTGGAAATCTGAGTTGGACATTTGAGTTGGAAATGTGAGTTGGAAATGTGAATTGGACATATAAGTTGGGAGTTGGACATTTGAGTTGGGAGTTGGATGTGTGAGTTGGACATTTGAGTTGGGAGTTGGATATGTGAGTTGGACATTTGAGTTGGGAGTTGGATACGTGAGTTGGACATTTGAGCTGGGAGTTGGATATGTGAGTTGGACATTTGAGTTGGGAGTTGGATATGTGAGTTGGATAATGGATATGTGAGCTGGACATTTGAGTTGGGAGTTGGATACGTGAGTTGGACATTTGAGCTGGGAGTTGGATATGTGAGTTGGACATTTGAGTTGGGAGTTGGATACGTGAGTTGGACATTTGAGTTGGGAGTTGGATATGTGAGTTGGACATTTGAGTTGGGAGTTGGATATGTGAGTTGGACATTTGAGTTGGGAGTTGGATATGTGAGTTGGACATTTGTGTTGGGAGTTGGATATGTGAGTTGGACATTTGAGTTGGGAGTTGGATATGTGAGTTGGACATTTGAGTTAGGAGTTGGATATGTGAGTTGGACATTTGAGTTGGGAGTTGGATATGTGAGTTTGACATTTGAGTTGGGAGTTGGATATGTGAGTTGGACATTTGAGTTGGGAGTTGGATATGTGAGTTGGACATGCCACACTTGCCTTCTCCCCTTCCTCCCCCACCCCCCCCCCCCCCCCCCCACTCTTCCCCATTTAAAGTGCTACCGGAGATGCAGGTGTGGTCGTTTACAACGGGAGACCTGGCCTTGGGCACAGCCTCAACGAGGCTGGCAGCAGACAAGGCGCTAGCATGAGCGTCCCAAAAATGTCACACCCAACCTTCCCCCCCTTCCCTCTTCCCATTCCCCCCTTCCCTCTTCCCATTCCCCTTCAGAGGTGCCGCTGGAAACGCAGGTGTGGAGGTGACAACAGGCGGCCGAACCTTCGGCACAGCCTCGGGCATGGCTCCCCGAGCCAGGCTGGCAGTGTACAAGGCGCTGTGGATCATCGGGGAGTACCAAGGGATTGGGTCCGGTTCTGACCTCATTGCTGCTGCAGAAAAGGCGGTGGCTGATGGAGTGGACGTGATATCATGCTCGTGGGGGGGCCTTGCCATGTACTTCCAAGACCTGCCCTACTTGCGTGGTCTAAAGGTGAGAATCTGTGCCTCCCCTATTTGAGGACAACATTCATACCTGCCCTCTGCCAACCTTGGCAGCACTTTCAGCCTGCTTGGGAAACGGCAGTACCTGGTGTGGTGGACGTCATATCATGCTCGTGGGGTGGTCTTGCCATGTGCTTCCAAGACCTACCCTACTTGCGAGGACTTAAGGTGCGAATCATCTTTGAGAATTCTCCAAAGTAACTTTCAGGATCTACCTACCCTATTTGCAAGGTGTTAAGGTGAGAATCCCGGATCACATAGACTTCTGTGCCACTCTTGGCAGCAATTACAGCCTGCTTGGAAAACGACAGTAGCTGACGGGGTGGATGTAATATTGTGCTCGTGGGGGGCCCTTGCCATGTGCTTCCAGTTGAGGTTTCATAGCAGCCCGTGCGACAGGCAAAGAGGAAACCGCCAACATCAGCAGACCCATGCAATCATCTCATGCCTCTTGATCTGGTCCGGCTAGATGGTCATACCCTATGCAGCAACCTCATCACTCGCATCCCATTCTCAACTTCTTATTCTCACCCTCCCGTTCTCGCTCTCCCAACCTAACCCTCCCAATTTAAACCTCCCAATCCAGCCCTGCCATTTCTCACCCTCCCATTCTCACCCTTTCTCACCCTCTCATTTCGACCTCCCAATGTCACCCTCCTCTTCTCACCCTCCCTTTCTCACCCTCCCATTCTCACCCTCCCTTTCTCACCTACCCATTGTCAACCTCGCTTTCACACCCTCCTCTTCTCACCCTCCCATCCTCACCCTTCCATCCTCACCCTTCCCATCCTCACCCTTCCCATCCTCACCCTTCCCATCCATCCTCACCCTTCCCATCCTCACCCTTCCCATCCTCACCCTTCCCATCCTCACCCTTCCCATCCTCACCCTTCCCATCCTCACCCTTCCCATCCTCACCCTTCCCATCCTCACCCTTCCCATCCTCACCCTTCCCATCCTCACCCTTCCCATCCTCACCCTTCCCATCCTCACCCTTCCCATCCTCACCCTTCCCATCCTCACCCTTCCCATCCTCACCCTTCCCATCCTCACCCTTCCCATCCTCACCCTTCCCATCCTCACCCTTCCCATCCTCACCCTTCCCATCCTCACCCTTCCCATCCTCACCCTTCCCATCCTCACCCTTCCCATCCTCACCCTTCCCATCCTCACCCTTCCCATCCTCACCCTTCCCATCCTCACCCTTCCCATCCTCACCCTTCCCATCCTCACCCTTCCCATCCTCACCCTTCCCATCCTCACCCTTCCCATCCTCACCCTTCCCATCCTCACCCTTCCCATCCTCACCCTTCCCATCCTCACCCTTCCCATCCTCACCCTTCCCATCCTCACCCTTCCCATCCTCACCCTTCTCATCCTCACCCTTCCCATCCTCACCCTTCCCATCCTCACCCTTCCCATCCTCACCCTTGCCATCCTCACCCTTGCCATCCTCACCCTTGCCATCCTCACCCTTGCCATCCTCACCCTTGCCATCCTCACCCTTGCCATCCTCACCCTTGCCATCCTCACCCTTCCCATCCTCACCCTTGCCATCCTCACCCTTCCCATCCTCACCCTTGCCATCCTCACCCTTGCCATCCTCACCTGTCCAGATTTCAGGCCGGAGTGGTCTCAACCTTTGCAGCCGGCAATTTGGGTCGCCCCAACCCCATGAGCATGTTGGGTACTTCCTCGAGTGCTTCTTCCTTTTTCCCTTCTCACCCTGCCCATTCCCACCTTTCCCATTCCCACCCTTCCCAATTTCATCCTGTCTATCCCCAACCTCCCATTCTCACCTTTCCATCCTCCAGGCCGGAGTGGTCACGGCCTTTGCAGCCGGCAACGAGGGCCGCCCCAACCCCATGAGCATATGGGGCACTCTCTCGAATGCCTCTCCCTTCTACCTCACAGTGGGAGCAAGGTACGGCTGGAGTGGGGGGGGTGCGGAGGGTGGCGGTGTTTCTGAGATGACTCAGAACACAGCCGGCAACAATGGTCGCCCCAACCCCATGAGCATATGGGGCACCCTCTCAAGTGCCTCTCCCTTCTACCTCACAGTGGGAGCAAGGTACGGCTGGAGTGAGGGGGGAGAGGGATGGGGGTTGTGTTGCAAGTGATACATGGAATGTGATTATAGCAAGGAAGGAGTGGTGGCTCGATCCCAAAAGGATGTGGGGGGCACCCATGGGGAATGGCTCGGGGGAATGGCTCGGAAAAAAAGTCTCTTCCTTCCAAGTTCCCAGCCACGATAGCCAGTGTAATCCAGGCTCCTTGCATCAGGAGGGAGTATGGGGATGGGATAACAGTTGGGTTTAATAAGGCGACGTGTGAGTCGGCTCAAAGGTATTCAGGCAGGAGTACCAAGATCAGCTCGATGGGGTCGAACAATCTTCAAAAGTCTTCTTGTTTCCACAGCAGCACTATGAGGCAGGAAGAACTTCCCACTCCTCGTCTCCCTTCCCCTCAACCCCACTCTTCAACACCCCCCACCCTTTCCGCCCCCCTCCCCACTCCGCCCTCCCCCTCTTCTCATTCCCTTAACCACTGCGTTCCCCACCGCAGCACCATTGGCCGAAAGTACTCGGCTGTGCTCACCTTGGGCGATGGAACCACCTTCACACGGCGCAGTCACGGTGGCACAACTGCCACGTCATCAGCGCTGCCCCTCAGACTCCTGCTTCCCCCCTCCCCCCCACCACTGCCCCTCCCCTCAGCACCATCGGTCGAAAGTACACGGCTGAGTTCACCTTGGGCGATGGAACCACCTTCACAGGATACAGCCTCGGCGGCACCACTGCCACGGCGTCACCTCTGCCGCTCATGCTCGCCGGGTCTGCTGCGTCCCCTCCCGAAGCCACGGGCGCGGTGAGCTCCTTCTCTGGTTTACATGCTTGCTTAGTCAGCGCTGCACCTTGTTGCTAGTTGAATCAGTACGACCACTTGTTGCTTGCTGAGAATGCATCAAATTCCAGAGGGGTATGGCGCAAGGTGAGCTTCACACTCGTGGGTTCACAGCTGGGGTTCACAGCTGGGGTTTCATATCAACTATATCTGAGTAACTTGCATATTTTCAGAGGAGAAATTTCTCAAACGACTCAGAGTCGCCTGCCATCTCTGCACCCCTTTCATCCACCGGGCATCCACCGGCAAGATTGAATGCATAGATGAAAGGAAAGTCAACTTTCTAAGTCGACTCGAAATTCAATTCCGCACCCCTTCCATCCATCAGGCTTCCACCTGTGACCCGGAATACGTGGATGCAACGAAAGTCGCCGGCAAGTTTCTTGTCTGCATTGTGACGGAGTGGGTGCACAGGGAGTGGAGCTATGACGCGGTGCTCATGTGGGCAGACACGCTGGGAGCGGCTGCCATACTCGTTATAAGCGAGGCAGCGGAGTACGACGCGGTTCCTATCTTCTCCTACTCGAAGACTCCTAGCATCGTGTTGAAGTTCTCGCACGGGCAGACCGTTAAAAAATACATTGAAGCTGAAAGCAGGCAAGAAGCTCTAACCTCGTTAACTCTTTCTCCTGTTTTATCTCTTCGCGCATGCTTAAAATGCCTTTCTCAAATATCCTCTACTTTTCAAACACCCGCCTTTTTTATTGGTCCTTCCCACAACCCCCACCCCAAACCCACCCGACCCACCTTCCCTTTCCCCCTCTTCTCCACTGCCCCTCCTCTCTTCTCTCCACTCTTCCCTCTTCTCTTCCATCATCGCATCCCTATCTTTATCCCATCCATCCACTCCCCCATACACAACCACTTCTCATTCCCTTCCGCTTTCCCTCTTTTCCCTTCCATCTCCCTTTCTCCTCCCCTTTCCCCCATTCCTCGTCCCCTCCCCCCCTCCCCCCTTCCTCCTTCCTCCTTCCCCTTCCAATTTCCCACTTCCCCGTTCCCCCCCCTCCCCTTCATGTCAAAGCAGCCCCCACGGCAACACTCTCCACTTCCACGGTCTCCCTCTACTTCACCGCCCCCCAGCTCGCTTACTTCCACTTCCCCCTTCCCCCTTCCCCCTGCCCTCTCTCCTCCCCTTCATGTCAATGCAGCCCCACAGCCACGCTGTCCGCTTTCACCGTCTCCCACTCCTCCAACGCCCCTCAGCTCGCTTACTTCTCCTCAACCGGTCCCCCACGTAGCCCGCTCTACCCTCCTGCGCTACTCATGCGCGACTTCCCCACTAATGACATCCTTAAACCGGACGTCATTGGGCCTGGTTACCAGCTATGGGCCGCGGCTCCGGGTAAGTCGCTCGAGACTGCTGCGACCGATCCGCCCGAGTTTAACTACTACTCCGGGACGTCAATGTCGACGCCGCATTTGGCGGGGATCATGGCGCTGATCGTGCAGAACAAGCCGAGCTGGTCCCCCTCGCAGGTGATTTCCGCGATAACCACGACGGCATATACGAGGAATGAAAACGGGCAGTTGATTCAACGGGCAAATGGAAAGAAGGCGAATGCGTGGGACTATGGAGGAGGCCACGTGGATCCCACGCGTGTCTTGGACCCTGGGCTCACGTTTCATGCGGCGCACAAGCACTTCGTGAATTTCCTTATGATGAGGGACCCGATAAGAACGAAGAAGCGATTCTGGCGCATGGGAAAGGCGCATCCGATTTTCCCTTGGAACCTCAACCGCGCCTCGATAGCAGTAACTCGACTGCACGGCGTTACACTAGTGTACAGGCGAGTGAAAAACGTCTACAACTTGCAATCCACTTATAAAGCGAAGGTGGACCCTCCACCTGGCTTTAACGTGAAAGTTTGGCCAAAGAAGATCACAATCAATCCTGGAAAATCTAGGGTGTTTAGGGTCGCTATCACTAGGTTGTTGCCTTTGGAAGCTTTTAGGTTTGGAACCATCACATGGTCTGACCAACATGGCCATTCTGTGCCAGTGCGCCTCGTGGTAAGGTCTCCCATTTTGCCGTGATTGTCAACAGTAAAGTGGCCTGTGCACATATTTTTAGTTTTCTGCTGCAATCTTTGTATATACGTCGAAAGCTCCATAGTATTCCTAAAACCACTCAGGTTCAAGTTTAAACATCAAATTGTTTGGGAGGTGCATTCAAAACTACATTTGGGAGGCACCAAGCCCAAGTTCTTCCAGTCCAACCATTGACCGATCAACTCCTCAAACAGCTTACATCAATGTCACATCTAACGAGAAAAAAAGGGTGAAAGCATGCAGACTACTTTTCGATTCCGGTGCTCTCTGCTCCACAGCTCATGACTACTTTGCCGAACTCTGAGATGACCTTATTACCTGCTCCACTCTCAAACTTTGTCAGAATCCCAACCACTAGACCATTGGGATAAAAGGGCTTATTTCAGTAGCGGGTCAGTGCGCCCATAACCCCCCAGGCAAACGCGCCTGTAACCCCCCCTATGATCGATCGGGGATCTCACAGTGTAGCTCTACTGACACCCCCCCACACTGGGAGGCCCAGGACTAAGCACAGCGGCACCAGCCTACATGTGCATACACCGGGAATCGAACCCGAGACCGCTCTGATACCATGTCAGAATCCCAACCACTAGACCATTGGGATAAAAGGGCTTATTTCAGTAGCGGGTCAGTGCGCCCATAATCCCCCAGGCAAACGCGCCTGTAACCCCCCCTAGGATCAATCGGGGATCTCACAGTGTAGCTCTACTGACAAACTTCACTTAACTTTGCTTAATGCTGCTTCACTCGACCACCCAGCTTCATGCTACATGGGCCATGTGTCAACCTATTTGTTTGTATGTTTGGTAGACTAGGTTAGTTAGCTTGAGGTATTCTTTAGGGAGTACAACTTTGTTGATATGGCAGCTATATGACCTTCTGCTAGCCATTCTGTTCATATAATTTTCGGACATCTTTTCAGAGCGAAGGTCGTGGGTTTGAATCCCCACCAGAGGTGGCGTGGGCGTCGCTGCCGCAGTGCCATGTCCTAGGCATCTCAATGAGGGGGGGTGTCAAAAGATCTGCACAGCATATCCCCGATTTATCCTAGGAAAGGGTTATATGTGCAAAGTCTGGGTGGTCATGGGCGCACTCACACCCTAATCAACAAGTCATTTTACCACAATAGTGCCTGGGCGTAGTGGTTGGGATTCTACCACCAAGAACTCCCCTATAATGTACGTACTAAATTTTGACATCCCTGGCCGTAATGGAGAAACTGATGAAGTCGTTAAGCTGCTTTCCAAGTTGTTGATATGGGAGCCGCGGGATCAATAGATGTCTTTGGATTCAGCAATACGCTCGACCAAGGGAAACCAGTCTTCAGGTTTGGTCTGACAAAATATATCGTGTTAAGAACCTAAGGCAGTCATGAGTGAATTAGGTGAAGGCTAGGGTACAAGACTAGGGTGTCGAGAAAGTTTCTGTACCCCCTAGTACTAGCCCCCATACAGCCTAGATAACCTAAACAATCATATATATATAATTTGACACACCCCGATAGGCGAAATGGGGGATAGCCAGAGCAAGCAACGGTCACAAGACCAGTCAAGAGAAGAAACAAGACACAACTCAGGGTGGATCACAACGTCACCACACAGTCTGAGCACAAGCAAAAGACCACAAGGCCAGTTCACATGCAGAGAGATATATATATATATATATATATATATATATATATATATCACAGTACAAACAAAGCCTACAGCAAGTGAGGAAGTGTGGGCACTAGGCCTAACAAGGTGCAGAAACGCTGATGATCACCAGGCGGAAGCGCCTTGGTGAATATATCAGCAGTGTTGGCCCAAGTGGCCACGTAAGCAAGACGAAGCTGGCCACGCTGCTGCAGCTCTCGAGCAAGGTACCTGCGCAGCTCACCCAGGTCTGTGCACGTGTGTCTCTTCTGCAGTTCCGACTTCACCAGGGCGAGCGCCTCAGTGTCAGCAGTGGCAAAGACCAAGTCGTCGACGTACACTAGAATGTAGAACGGCGGGAGCGAAGTGTCGGTGCGCAAAAACAGCGACGGGTCAGCAGTCGACGGGGGGCTAAGAACCTGGCGAAGCACGGAGCCAGGCTGGGGCAGAGACAACGGAGACGGCGGAGCAAAGAACAGGCGCGGCTGTGCAGTGCCACCAGCACCAGTAGCTCCAGCACCCTCAGCAACTCCAGCGCCTCCAGCAGCTCCAGCACCTTCAGCAGCTCCAGCACCTCCAGCACCCTCAGCAGCTCCAGTACCCCCAGTAGCTCTAGCTCCTCCAGTAGTCCAAGTAACCTCAGCAGCCCCAGCACCTCCAGAAGCCTCAGCACCAGTCCAACCTGGTGCAGCACCCCCAGAACTGGCACCTCCAGTCCTAGGGTCTCCAACCGCAGTGCCACCAGCAGCAGCACCCTCAGACACGCCACCGTCAGCCCCAGCAGCTCCAGCACTCCCAGTACGAGCACCTCCGGGACCAGCGACACTAACACCTCCAGCAGGCAAAGGACCAGTACCACTCCCAGCTCCAAGGACGCCAGCAGGAGAACCCCCAGCAGTAGAGCCCTGAGGTGCAGAAGCGCGACGCTGACGGCGACCGTACCAGTCGTGCAGCTGTTGGGAGGTGAGAGGCAAACGCGGACGAAGACGGCTACTCCAAGGAGACCGCGTAACAGCAGTCTCAGGACCCTCACGCGACTCACTCCCAGACTCAGCACCCCCAGGCTCCGCACACGCAGGCTCAGCACCCCCAAACTCAGCACCCCCAGACGCAGCACCCCCAGACGCAGGACCTCCAGGCTCCTCACGCGCAGGCTCAGCACCCCCAGGCTCCGTACCCTCAGGCCCCTCACGCCCAATGCCCCCAGACTCAGCACCGCCACGCTACAAACCCCCAAGCTCCGCACCCTCAGGGACAGCACCACCACCAGCAGGACCGAAGTCACCAGTGACCTCAACAGGCGCAGGGAGTGGAGGGTCTACCTGAGAAACACCTAAAGGAGCAGGACCTGGCGCGGGGAGGGGGTCTACCTGGGGAGGACCTGGGGCAAGAAAGAGCGGCGGGAGAGGGCGAGGAGCAGTGCGGTAGGGGAAGAGGCGGTAAAAGGGGACTGACTCGTCAAAGGTGACGTCCTGGGACACAAAGACACGGCGCTAGGCGGGGTCGTAAAACTGCCAACCAGGCGCGTCAGGGACGAAGCCAAGGAAGACGCAAGGAATGGCGCGAGGGGAGAGCTTGTCCGCGGTGGTATCGCGAACAAAGGCACGAGCAACCCAGACCCGGAAACGCGACGCGTCACCAACCTTCCCCGTCCACTGCAGTGTGGGCGAGGTCTCCGGTAAGGAGGCACGGGGCCAAAGGTTGAGCTGATGCGCAGCGTACCTGACCGCAAACGGCCACAGAAAATGGGGGGCAGCCGCATGGATCATGGAGGTACGAGCGACCTCCATGACTAAGCCAATGCGGCGCTCAGCAACCCCATTCTGCTGCGGAGAGGCCGGAAGCGTGAAAGTCTGGCGGATGCCGTGCTCCGCACAGAAGGCGGCCAAGAGGTCTGAGGAGAACTCACCACCTCTGTCAGAGTACAGACGCAGGACAGTAAAGTCCGACTGGAACCGCTCGCGGAGCTGGAGACGAGTAGCGCGGATCCAGGGGATCAAAACATCAGGGACATCCCCCTTGCGCTGCAAGGGGAAGACTGTGGTGTAGCGCGTGTAGTCGTCGACAACCAGCAGGAAGTACCGCTCGTGGCCCTGTCCACGGACGCGGGCTGGGCCCCACACGTCCAGGTGGAGAGTCTGCAGTGGAGCCTCTGTGGGAGGGAACGAGGAGGAGTGAGGAGCTGCGCGCTGCCGCCCCTCGATGCAAGGAATGCAGGGCGGCGCAGGCGAGGGAGGGAGGGCAGGCAGAGACCTGGGAAGACCGGAAACCAGAAAGCGAGAGTGCATGCTACGAAGGCAAGGCAGGGAGGGGTGTCCCAGGAGGTGGTGCCACAGGAGGGTGTCGTGAGACAGCCGGCAACACTCACACTGGGTAGCTACCTGAGCAGACGTGTGCAGCTGGGGAGACAAAGGGGTGAAGCGGGACTCAGTGGTGAGGGTGTACAGACTGGACCCTGGCGCACGGGTGAACGTGGCCAGGTGGCGGCCAGTCTGGGAGCACGTGCAAATCGCCACACGCTGTCGGCCAGGGGTGAAGGTGTCAACACCCGCATCCTGGAGGACATCGTTGCTCACCAAGTTCGTAGAGAACGAGGGGAGGTGGAGACCAAACAGCTCACCAGACGGGACCGCTGGACACGGAAGCACAGTGGAGGACCGTGCAAGCACAAGGCCCCCAGAGGGGTCAGCCAGTGAGACAGGAACAGGTGCAGGAAGGGGAGTGACTGTGGTACTGTCGCGAAAGAAACAGCGGGAAGCACCAGAGTCAAGTGTAAAGGTGTGCAAGGCCTCTGCAGGCGCAGTACCAAGGGGAGCAGACTCACAAGCACCTAGTGCTGCAGGGGCTATACCAGGGGCTATACCAGGATCCGGCGGCACACACAAGTAGCAGTCACCCTCAGCACTAACAGACAATGCATACATAGTAGCTAGAATAGCCTCATAGTCTAGATCAAAGATTGGTACATCACGCCTAAGCAAGTCTGCCCTGTTGGGGAACTCACTAGCATCAGGAAACTTGGCGCGCCAGGCGTCGCTAAGTCGAGCGAAGCAGCGCTGCTCAGTGTGAAACCCTGTGCACTGGCGACCAGCGCGGGGACCTGTGTGGATGATATACGGGCAGCGACCAGGACCCCCAGAAGCCCCACGCCCTGCATACCAGTCAAGAAGCTGCTGGGAAGTGGGGGTCTGGCGCTGACGCTGCTGCTGCTGCTGCTGCGGCTGCTGCTGGCCCTGACCACCACTGCCACCACCGCTCCCTCCTCCCCCACCGCTGCTGCTAGCCCCTCCACCGCCCCCAGTGCCTCCGCCGCCCCCACCACCACCTCCACCCCCTCCACCCCCACGACCACCCCCACCACCTCCACCGCCCCCGCCGCCTGCACCACCGCCACCTCCCCCGCCGCCTCCACCTGCCCTGCCACCCTTGCCGCCCCTGCCGCTGCGACGCTTCCCACTAGGAGCGGAAGCAGCCCCGACCTCCTCAGCACCAGGGTAGTCGTGAGCAGCAGCTGCGGAGGCGTAGGAGGGGGTGAGAGGGGAGGGGGAGCACCCCTCAAAGAGGGGAGAGTGAGGAGTGCCACGAGCAGCACCTACAGAGAGGATGTTCTTCTCTGCTGCAAGGAGGTGCTTCTCGACACAGGGGACGCAGGTAGGGCCAGGCCCCGGAGGAAGGGGAGGGAGGGACCGGGGAAGACCAGAGACAAGGACACGGGAGGCCATGCTTCGGAGACGAAGCAGGGAGGGGTGACAAAGGCGGTGGTGCCAGAGGAGAGTCTCGTGAGACAGGAGGCGACACGAGCAGGGGGCAGACTCAGGACCAGACCTGGACGCTGCAGCAAACACCTGACCCGACGCAGCTACCTGACCAGACGCAGTGACTGGAGGAGATGCAGTGGTCAGTGTGTACAGGCTCGACCCCGGCCGACGAGTAAACGTGGCCAGGTGTCGGCTTGTCCGAGCGTCCGTGCAGTGGGTCACCCGCTGACTCGCAGGAGTGAACTGGTGAACCCCCGCATCTTGCAGGTCAGCACCACTCACCAAGTTCGTAGAGAACGAGGGGAGGTAATGACCAGACAGGGTGCCAGAGGGGGCCGCCGGACACGGGAGGACAGTGGAGAAGTGAGCGAGGACAGGACCCCCAGAGGGGTCTGCCAGAGAGACTGCAACTGGCTGACCAAGCGGCGTGAGTGTGGTGCGGTCTCAAAAGAAGGAGCGAGAAGCCCCCGAGTCAAGAGTGAAGGTGTGGGAGACTGAAGCCGACGCAGTATCTGAGAGCGCAGACTCACCAGCACCTGAGGAAGCAGACACACCAGCACCTAGAGCAGCAGCCTCGCTAGTACCTGGAGCAGCAGCCTCACCAGCACCTAGAGCAGCAGTCTCAATGCCCGGGTCGGGCGGAAAACACCGGTAACTGTCACCCTCATCACTAATAGTCATAGCATACATGGCAGCAATGAAAGCATCGAAGTCAAGATCAAAGATAGCTACTCCCGCCCTAGACAGCTCGCCCCAGCGAGGGATCTCAGTGGCCTCAGGGAACTGGTGACGCCAAGCGTCCGTCAGGCGGCCAAAGCAGCGCTGAGTGGAGTGCGCACCCCCACACTGCTCACCAGCTCGGTCGCCGGTGCGGAGAACGTAGGTGCAGGGACCCGTACCCCCACCGCGCTGACGCACCGCATACCACTCACGAAGCTGCTGAGGGGACAAGGTCTCCCGACTGCGCTGCTGCTGCTGACGCGGACCACCACCGGAGCCACTCCTCTGCAAAGTGCCTCGACCTCCTCCTCCTCCTCCGCCACCGCCTCCTCCACCACCGCCACCTCCGCCACCTCCGCTCCCACCGCCACCGCCGCCGCCGCCTCCGCCTCCACTGCCGCCACCGACACCTCCACCCCCGCCACCACTCCCACCACCACCCCCACCCCCTCCACTGCCTCCATCGCCGCCTCCACCACCCTTGCTAGCCCCTCTAGTGCCCTTGCCCCCCTTGCCCTTGCTGGTGCGGCGTTTCCCACCAGGGGCAGACGCAGCGCCGACCGACTCAAAACCAACGAGGTCGGCTGCAGCAGCAGAGGCAACAAAGGGTAAGAGGGGGGAGGGGGAACACCCCTCAAAGACGGGGGTGCGAGGGTCACCACGAGAGGCTCCTACAGCGACTATGCTTTTCTCTGCTGCTAGGAGGCGCTCCTCGAGGAGGTCAACGGTGAGAGTGGTGGGGCAAACTGAGAGGAAGTGGTCCCTGACTACGCGGAGAGAGTCAGGGAGCTGGGTGATTATGTAGTAGAGAGTGATGTACATCGGAGGGAGGGTTCTTGGCGCAGAACTCAGCAGGAAGCGCGGCGCGGTAGCGAGTGTCACTAGTGCGGAGGTGCGTAATGAGGTCAGCAACTGTGGGAAAGGCAGCAAGGTCAGGGAAGAGGTACGGTAGCATGAGGCGGCTCAGTGCAGCAGTGTGATGCGGCTCAGTGCAGCAGTGGCAGGGGAGGAGTAGCGTGCAACTACAGCGTCGTACAAGGTCTAAGCACTCTTGTACAGACTAAAGTGCGCACGCTCAGAGGTAGGCAGGTGGCGACGCACAGCAAGACGTGCAGCAGCATCGTGTGTGGCCCACTGTGAGCGAACAGTGGCGTCAGCATCAGCAGCAGGGGCAGGAGAGGCACCAGAGGTAAGGTCAAAGAGGGAGAGACCGTCTGCCCTATCGCACTGTAGGAAAAGCTGCAGGTCATCTACCCAGACGTCAAAGTCAATGGCCCGACCCTCAGCGTCCAAAGCGAGGACACTAGGGGTAGCCATGACTGCAGTAGACTAGCAGCGCGAACAGTGGGGTAAAGGCAGTGCAGTGATAGAGGCTCTGCTCTTACCGGACAGGACGGCTCGGGCGGCTCGGCGGCTCGGCAACTCGGCAGGAACTGCAGCTCGGCGGCTCGGCGGCTCGCGCGATACTGCGGCTCGGCGGCAACTGCAGCTCGGCGCGCGGCGCCCCGGCGGCTCGGGCGGCTCAGGTGGCGCGGCGGCCCGGGCGGCTCGGGTGGCGCTGGTGGCTCGGCAGTAGCTCGGCGGCGCCGGCGGCTCGGTGGTGACGGCGGGGCCTCGTGAGGGCGGGGCCGGGGCCGGGAAGGGCGGGCGACGGGGCCAGCAGAGGCTGGGCCGGGGCCGGGAAGGGCAGCGCCGGGGCTGAGAAGGGCGGCGTCGGGGCCGCAGGGATAGGCGACGGGGCCAGTAGAGGCGGGGCCGGGTCGGGAAGGGCGGCGTCGGGGCCGGGAAAGGGCGGCGCCGGGGCCGCGGGGTAGGCGACGGGGCCAGCAGAGGCGGGGCCGGGTCGGGAAGGGCGGCGTCGGGGCCGGGAAAGGGCGGCGCCGGGGCCGCGGGGTAGTCGACGGGGCCGCAGGGCGGCGGATCGGGGCCGGGAAGGGCGGCGCCGGGGCCGGGATCGGCGGCGCCGGGGCCGCAGGACTAGGCGACGGGGCCAGCAGAGGCGGGGCCGGGTCGGGAAGGGCGACGAATTGGGGCCGGGAAGGGCGGCGCCGGGGCCGCAGGAGTAGGCGACGGGGCTGCTAGGGCAGCGGATCGGGGCCGCGAGGGCGGCGCGACGCAGCCGCTAGGGCGGCGCGACGGGATGGGGCCGCGAGGGCGACGCGACGGGGCTGCTAGCGCGACGCGACGGGGCCGCTAAGGCGCGACTGGGTCAAGAGAGGGGAGCGTGACTCGGGCAGGGGCTGAGCGCGCTCCGGGCAGGAAAAAAAATTCGGATCGGTGGGCCCTAGGAACAGTTCCCACAGGGGAACCTGCTCTGATACCATGTGAGAATCAACGAGAATGGATGAACTATGAAAGAGTTGGGTACAAGTACTAGCCCTAATTGGGTTGTACCCCTTATGGGATACCCCACTACAGCCTACACAAAATGCATAAGCTATGATGTTCTGACAAAATACTGTACCCAACCACAACGTCAAGTCAAGATGAATGGGGTTCGAATACCTAAACCTGCAAGTTGGTGCGATGGCCCGCTTGACATTTCAAATCAACCACATAATTACGCTCATCATTGCCCATCTACTATTACCCGTCGACTGATACATCAGCCCGTCATTGCACGTCAGCCTACTTCGCCCGTACATCCCGACCACGAGCCAACTGCCACGACATTGCCCGCCCTCGACGACACGTTTGTCAAACATTATATATGTTGTATTTGTGTAGGCTACAGTGGGTTAGCCTTTAGGGGGTACACAATTCTAGGGTTAGGTACTTGTACTCCCTTTCCTTCCTAGTCCAACACTTCTTCTTTCTAACATGGTATTAAGAGCGTAGGTTTAGACCTAGGATCGCTCCTTAGGGCCCACCGTTCCGTTCGAAGCGCCCTCGAGCGCCTTTCTCCTAGTGCGCCCTCGTGCGCCTCGCTGTCTCCTACTGCCCATGCGCAGCTCAGTAGAGCCGCACGCGGCCTTTTTTTCTCGCGTGCGTCGGCCCCTAGCAGCCTGCGCGCGGCGTTTTCTGCGAGCGCGCCGCCCGTTAGCCGCCCACGCTGCCACGCGCCGCCCGCTAGCAGTCCGTCGACGGGCCCCTCTTGGCCGCCCGTAGCCTGCTAACGACCGGCAGCCCCGCCCGTAGGCCGCGCTGCCGCCCTCTAGGCCACCCACGTGCTAGTCAGGCCCACGCAAGGCCACGGCCCGCCCGCTACAGCCGCCCGTGTGCACGCCCCCCCTGTCGCGCACTGCCCCGTAGCCCGGCCCGAGCCGAACCGCGCCGCCCGAACCGAGCCGCGCCGCCCGAACCGAGCCGCGCCGCCCTAACCGAGCCGCGCCGCCCGAACCGAGCCGCGCCGCCCTAACCGAGCCGCGCCGCCCGAACCGAGCCGCGCCGCCTAGGCAGAGCCGTGCCGCCCTACTGTTCCTACTACTGCAGTTCCTACTACTACTACCACTGCAACTATGGCTAGTCCTTCTGTGCTAGCTTTCGATACTGAGGGCCGCCCACTGAAGTTTGAGATCTGGCTCGATGACTTACACCTATTCCTCCAGCTCGCTGTCAAGGAGAATATCTCACTGTACGATCACGCGCTAGGCCATGCTACTGCCCCTGCTGCTACAGCTGACAGTACTGCCCGCTCACAGTGGCAGACTCGTGATGCTCACGCTCGCTTCGCTATTCGCAACTCCCTGCCGGTAGATGAGCGCGAGCACTTTGGCCAGCACAAAACTGCGCAGGCACTGTACACTGGTGTAGTTGCACGCTACTCCTCACCTGCCTCTGCTGCGCTAGGCCGTCTCTCGCTCCCCTACCTGTTCCCAGACCTGTCAGCTTTCTCCACAGTCTCTGACCTCATCACGCACCTCCGCACTAGTGAGGCCCGCTTCCGTGCTGCTATGCCCGCTGAGTTTCTTGACAAGAACCCCCCCCCGCTCTGGCTCACTCTCTACCACCTAGTCACTCGCCTCCCTGACACTCTGCGTTCAGTCAGGGACCACTTCCTAGCTCGCTGCCCCACTGAGCTCACCATTGACCTCCTCGAGAAGGAACTGCTTGCAGCCGAGGCTAGCATAGTCGCTGTAGGTGCCTCTCGTGGCGACCCCTGCACCCCTTTCTTTGAGGGGTGTTCCCCTTCCCCCCTTCTCCCCTCTATCGCCTCTTCTGCTGCTGTCGACCTAGGTGGTACTGAGCAGGACGGTATTGCATCCGCTCCGAGCTGGCGCCGCAGCGGCAAGGGCAAAGGGGGCAAGGGAGGTGGAGGTGACAGCGGGGGAGGCAGTGGTGGGGGTGGTGGCGGCGGTGGGGGTGGTGGCGGGGCTGGAGGGGCTAGTGGCGGCGGTGGGGGTGGTGGCGGCAGCGGCGGGGGAGGTGGCAGGGGCGGGGGTGGTGGTGGTGGCGGCGGTGGCCGCGGAGGCGGCAGGGGCGGTGGTGGATGGGGTGGCAGCGGCGGAGGTGGTGGTCGTGGAGGCGCTGGCGGTGGCCAGAGCCAGCAGCCGACTCCGTCGCCCCAGGAGCTTCGTGAGTGGTACTCTCAGCATGGGGGGGGGGGGGGGGGGGGGGGGGTGGAATTAGCTGCACGTACGTCATCCGCACAGGTGACCGCACTGGTCAGACGTGTGGGAGGGCGCACACCACGCAGCGCTGCTTCTCCCGCCTTGACGACGCTTGGCGTACTCAGTTCCCTGCTGCCACTGAGCTGCCCCGCTGGGCTGATCTGATGAAGAAAAACATTGATATCTATGCTCTAGACTTTGATGCTATTCTCACTGCCATGTATGTGTTGTCTACTAGTGGAGAGGGTGCTCAGTACCTGCGTGTTCCGCCCGACCCGAGCATTCGGACCAGTGAGGCTGCCGCTCTAGGTGCTAATGCGTCTGTTGCCCTAGGTGCTGGTGAGGCTGCTGCTCCAGGTACTCCCGTGTCTCTTGCCCCAGGTACTGGTGAGGCTACTACTCAAGGTACTCGTGAGTCTGCGCCCCCTGGTACTGAATCTACTGAGGCACTGCACACCTTCACACTGGACTCAGGTGCTTCTCGCTGTTTCTTTCATGACCGCACTGCCCTTGAGCAGCTAGCTCGGCCAGTTGCTGTCTCCCTTGCTGACCCCTCTGGGGGTCCGGTCATTGCAACCTCCTCCACTGTCCTTACTTGTCCTGCGGTTCCGTCGGGCACACTGTCAGGTCTCCACCTCTCCTCGTTCTCTACGAACTTGGTGGCGGGTTGTGCGCTCCAGGACAGGGGTGTCCACCAGTTCACCCCTGCCCACGAGCGCGTGACACACTGCACGTGTGCTCGTACGGGTCGTCACCTGGCTACCTTCACTCAGCAGCCGGGGTCGGACCTGTACACACTGACCATTGAGTCCCCTCAGGTAGCTCATCTGCGTCTACTTCAGGTCAGCTGTCTGCCCCCTGCTCGTGTCGCTCTCTAGCACACGAGACCGTCCTCTGGAACCACCGCCTTGGTC